CTTTTATTTATTTTTTTCTCAGTATAAATAACACGTACCCTGACTGTTCTACTCTTTGAATAAAAACACTTCATTCAAGCGTTAGGGGGTGACATGTGCAAGGGGTTATGATGGAGGGGTGTTGCAAATCATGAAGACCTGCCAAGTGGTATGATAGCATTTTTTTATACATGTCCTCGGCTAGGCCTCAGCTTCAAAATCAGTCCTTGGTCCTTGGCCTTGGCCTCAGAGGCAAGTCCTTGGTCCTTGGCCTTGGCCTCGGAAAATTTCTCAAGTCCTTGGCCTTGGCCTTGCCTCGGAAAATTTTCCACGTTCTTGGCCTTGTCCTTGGCCTCGGAGTGAAGTCCTTGGCCTTGGCCTTGGTCTCGGGTTGCCGGTCCTTGGACACAACACTGGTGTCCACAATAATCAAACATGAATAAAACACGCAGACTAAATCTATTCCTGCTTGCTGAAGGGAGTATTTGTAAGTTTTGCTGGCATTTTGCATGATTGCTTGTCTCGTGCTTTTGAATAAACATCAGGGGTGAAAAAGCCACAAATAATAATAATAATAATAAATAATTAAAATTAAAAGCAAAAAACCCCCCACAAAACAACTAAAAAAAACCCACACTCAGAGTAACTCTTGTAACGCTAACTGAGCTGAGATCTCACAATACCATGCAGGATGGTGGAAATTCACGTTTTGTGCAACATACCATACGTACTTCCAGATGATTCTAATTACGAAATTGAACTATTTCAGGGGCATTCAATTTCAGAGGGTCCACTAGTACCACTAAACACATTTCAAACAATTATTATTAGCTTGTTCACAGATTAATGAGTATATATTTATTTAGAGAAACAATTATCTTGCGTTGTCAAATGAATGCATGATCTTGCCATTCTAAACACATTGAAAGTTCATTTAGTGTACAATGTCAACTACTGCAAATTAGCCTGTGTGTCACAATAAAAGGTAAATGAAAACGCAGCAAGTACCTGAAGTGACCAGTTGTGGCAACTTGGCGGACAAGGATCGGGAAGCGGGCCAGGGCAGGACTGTAATAACCCCCGGTAGCAGCTTCCAACTGAAGGAGATTGTGCAGATGGCAACAGAGCAGGTAGAGACGAGTTGCCTGAAGATACTGGGAGGCCTCCATGGCACTCCAAATGCGCTCGGGAATCTCCAAAAGGAGTTTGATCTGAGAGGCCATGGTGTAGAACTTGTCCTGCCACTGATTCTATGAGACAAAGACACAAACATGTATGAATTTGTAGTGAGTTCATGGATTAGCCGGAGTGGTTTAAACCTTTTTTCAATTTTATCAGTCTTCTTATTTTTCCAAACATCACTGCACAATATAAATAATGGTGTGTTCAATTGCTTTTTAAATGCTTAGCTAGCAGAAACCCATCATTCAAGAGCAATTATTTGACTTCAACTCTTCATCGTATGCCAAACTGAGCATTTAGTTAATAGCCGACTATCACACTGAATTGCCTATATCCTAGCTCTTTTCATCACAAGTAGAAAAATTCAACACTAGTAGAATGACTAGGGCACATTCTTTGTTAATTAGTTCTACTACTGGCTTCTATTACCATATGACTAACTGCATTATCAAATTTTTACTCGCGCCTGACTTGTAGTACTCAGAACGCACGTCAAATATAAGTAACCCACTCACTAACATGAGTTGTTCCACTAAATCAGCATGGGCAACAAGTTGGAATAAAATTGCACCTTCTGGGTGTGTAGTGTCATAGTGAAGGGAGATATATTGACTGGTGAAAATTGTGTTTTATACAGACTGGCGAATATTTTGTTTGGTTGTTTCTGATCATATTTTTTGCATTACTTTATGTTCTTTTTAGTATATATTTTATGTACAGTTTGCTGTATATGTGTTAGTTTGCGTTTGCTTTTATTTTGCCTTGTTTTACTCTGCTTTCTGCAACTGGGTTGGCAATGCAAATTAGAATCGGTTCTCAATTGCCGACCTAAATAAATAAAGGTTAAATAAATAAATGAGACGTTAAACTCATGCCTCACTACTACAAGCAGTTTACTAGTACTTATTCAAGTGAAAGACTATTTACAATTTGGACAATTTAGCGCAGTAGTAGGATGCTGAGATGACACCCTCAAGAACTGAGGATGACGACTAGGTTGATTCTTGGAGATAATTTTGAGCCACTAGAAGGGTTGAATTGTAAGATCTGAATGCCAGAATGTGTTCATTTCTAAATTAAGTGCCTCGATGTTTAGGTGCAGCAAACAAAAAACAGGGGAACACTCGGTTCGGTTCACCTCCTGAGTGTGGCTGGTGATGCAGACTTTGCCTTGTTTTAGTCGGTGGCAGTACTGATACATGTCCTGGATGGATTGGACAACACTCGCCGAGCTCTGCCTCATCTCTCCGATGGTGTCTGCGGCGTCAATCAGGTCCCGGTAACGCTCCCCCACCATCTGCCTCAGTTCTTCCTTTTTCTGCTCGATCTCCCCGCGGACTTTCCGCTCTATACCGCGGATATCATCGGTGCTGTACCGCTCGAACAGAACCACCGGGTCCTTAATCTCCGATATCCGGAGAGACGATGCCGGTGCTTCAGTCATTGCTACTCCAAAACAACTTCACAGAGCTACAAGGATCTGTAAACCGGAAAATGAGAAAAGCACACTTCCGCTTGATACGTCAGCAAATTCATAGTCGTTCCACAATTTGCGTTCTTTTTTTTTTTTTTTAATAAATCTTTATTCGAACAAGTCATAGTACAATTCTCAATAAACAGAAAACAAAATGAACATGTTATTAATACATATACATATTACAAACATTTAAACAAAAAAGAAGCCAGGGGATTTTAAACAAAAATTTCAAATAAGGAGCATATAGCCAGAGTCTTAACAGCTTTCTTGTTTTTAGAATCCATAATTGAACTCAGGTACTGCTTTATTTCTGCTTCAAAAATTAAGAAAAGAGGTTTTAAATTACTCCATCTGGATTTGTGGATATGGAATTTAGCGAGAATGATTATTACATTTATAATGAAGGTTTGTTTAGTGTTTTTTTCCTTACTTTTGTGGAACCCAAATTAGTACATTTTTCCAGTATAGCATAAAGTCAGAGTCAATAAGTTCAATAATAAATCTGGATACAGCTTTCCAAAATGTGTTGGTATACGGGCATTGCCAGAACAAGTGAACCATTGTTTCAGGGTACATTCCACAAAATGAACAACCAACAGAGATGTCTTTCTTGAACCTAAGAAAATAATGCTTGGTGGGATAGTATTTGTGTATCATTTTAAAAGAGATTTCCCTTACTTTATTAGTCAGGAGGTACTTGTATGGGAGAGACCAGATTTTTCCCCAGTGTAGATTATCAACAAAACCAGACCAGTAGGTAATAATGTATGGGATTGTTGAAATATCTTGTTGAAACAGGGAACGTATGTTACGGTTGTTATTTCTGACTGATGTTGACGTAAAACAGGATTTGCCGATAGCAGTTATTTTGGGGTCCAGGGTTGGTGTGGAGGTTGATCTGTCCACCCCTTTCAAGAGGGTCAAGATTCCAGAAGGAAGAGCATCCATGACTGTAGCAAATTCTTTTGGGGTGACCGGTAAATTAAATTTATTCAAAAATTCAGAGTAATTTAAAAGGAAACCTTGAACAATTTGCGTTCTTGTCCGTTCTTATGTGGTCTCGTCAACGTCATCAGTCGCAGCCTGGGTGCTGTTCGAAATGAAGGTTCGAATAAAACCAAGAATACATTGAATGCCCGGATGTTGGTCTTGTCTGCTTGCTGAAAACAAGGATGCATCGGTTTCACACTTATGGAGGATTGGCTACTGGCTAGGAAAATTTCCCAAGATGCACTGCGTTCATTTATCACGGAAATACGTCAGTGTGGAGTGGTAGAAGCTTAAATTCACAACACGGAGTTTGTTTGCAATATTTGCATGTATTAATAACGTGTTCGTTTTGTTTTCTGTTTACTGAGAATTGTATCCTGACATGTTCAATAAAGATTGTTTAAAAAAAAAAAACAACACGGAGTTTTTATACGCCATCTGCAAGAGTGATTCAGAGACGAATCTACATTTATTTTGTAATTACCCTGTGTCAAAATTTTTGAGTGACCTTGTAAAATATGTGTAAAAAATGATCATATCATTGCAAGTGACGTAAAAGATAATAATTACAAGTTTTGTGCATGATGTCAAGTCTTTGACCTTTGTGAGCAATCGTATGCTGTTACTTGGCAAATTTTACTAAATAAAAATGTTCAAATTCATTCCAAATGTTCAAGCATTTCTTGTAGATTTTAATCTATGTGTAAATGCTTTCAAATCAACAAAGAAGAAGAAAAGTGCTTGTACATTGCAGTTCCTTAGTGAGTTGCCTTTAGTTGGCCTCGAACTAAAGTTTACTTTGCCGTATGTTGTGGTTGGTGTTGTTTGTGTGGCTTATATTCTTGTATTACAGTGATGTCTATTCAATTTGTTGTACAACAAGTGCATGTTTGACTGAGCCTCAATAAATATTCTTGAAAAAATTCAGCATATACTTGAGACTTGATACAGTTCAATATTCGGCCTTGAATTCTAGCACATAGACCTGTATTATAGCAGGCCTTCCTTTCACAACGTTTCATGTGCTTTTTCAACATCCAAAAAGATTGTTAAAACAGTGTCACGATTCATTAACACTTTTTAAATTTCACAGTCGAAGACTACCACTGAATCCAGTGCAGCTTTACCCCTCAAAAAAAATTAGGCAGGTATAAAATATCCCTTCTGCTCCAATCTGTACTCTAACCTGTCCATAATCATCCTCTCCATGATTTTACACATCACAGAAGGTAGAACAATAGAGCTGCAAGGTGATGGATTTATCTACATCTTTCCCAGGTTTTGAGATGGATTCAACAACAGCAGCATGCTTACACTCATCTGGAAGATCCCCATTGTCCCACACATCATTAATTATACACAGAAGTTATCCTACCATTTGGTCATCCAGATGCCAGAGAAAGGTTGTCCTTGCCAGGTGTTGAGTGGCGTCCTCCATAGGAAAAAAAATAAGTTCATTCCTTCATTATTGTCACTGCTGCATTTACGTTTGTAACCCTCTTGCTGCCATAATTGTTTTTCCTTCTTGACATACTTTCACTACTAATATTGTCCTTTCTGTGGAGTTTCTGGAATTTTTAGTATGGATGTGAGAGGTGGCCGGTCTCAACAGAGGTACACATAAAACAGTACTTTTTCGTTTGTGCTTTCTGTGACAGTCCGTCTAAGGTGCGTGAGGAGTTGTGCGCCGTGTATTCCAAAAATATGGACATATTTAATGCTGATAATATTGCAGCAAACACATATGGTGAACAAGCAGCTGTTGTGACGGCTGGCAGACTGTTTCAGTGCTGAGGTCTTGACAAGTGACTGCCGCAAGATGGCGAACACGTTGACGTATGATGCCAACCAGCATGTTGAGGCGTCGTCTACAGTTTCCACCTTGGAGACAATGTAATTTATTTCGCACATTTGCTATGAAGTGTAGTTAAATGCTTAGAGCAGTTGATGTAATGTTTAAACATATATGACATAATGGGAATGGGGTGGGGGTGGGGGTTATTGACCTAACTAACGTAATTTTGCGCCCACCTGATCGCATCGTGTAATATTTGTATTTGTTGAAAGAATTTCCTGCCTTTTCTTCCACGTCTGCTGTGCCATAGCAACCGCCAACCCGCATTTTAACTAACGGACTGCTGGTTAAAGATTTACTGCTCTAATTTTCTTTGAGGCAGCAGAGGCGGAGTTTATTGCGTCAAACAGGTGAATCATATACAACTTTAAACACGGAAGGAAATAAAACATAACAAACGACAGCTACTGGTAAGCAGACAACTACTACAAGTATGGACTAATTCCATTTTATATATTGTATACATTGACATTTCAAGTATATTGCGATTAATTCAAATCTTTCAATACCGTGTTTTCTTAATTGAGAGTGGTTCCCGATCGAGTAGCGGTCTCCACAAATGAATGGCGCTGATAGTCTACTGATACATGTCAAATTTAATTTTCATTTACATTTAGGGACGCTTTCTCTAGTCTAGAATATTCCCAAATCACGGATTCGAAAGTATAGTGTCGCGTGTTTTAAATAGATGCAAGGCAACCCGTCTTCTGAAAATATTGCAACCGTGAGGCGAAGTCCTTTGGTTTTTGGAGAGTGAAAACATTTCACGTTGCTGGCGTTTCCTGGTTCAGGCACTTGTCGCACAGAAATGGGGGTGCGAGGGTAAAATTTTGAAGCGTAGTTGTAGTAGGCGTTGTCCAAGTGTCCAAATACATTCATTTGTAATTTTATTCAATTTATTTATGCATAATTTATAGCTATGACGTTTCAGATAGTTATGACGTTTCAGAAAAGTTTCCACCTGTTGCTGATCCTAACCCTTATTTCAAAAATATTATTAAATATATTGCTGTCTTACATATTGTTATCAACACCTAATGTGCTGGGGGTAAAAAGAAGGTCAGATTTAGAATTAGTTTAAAAATAAAAAAAAAAAGTTCAAAAATCCAGAAACGATTTTTAGTCAAAATTTGTGGACCAGTGAATACGGTCTGCTTTTATGAAGGAATACAGAAATCTGATAAGGCTAAAATCAGGATTTGGAAAATGGTCAGTTCAACAATGACTCAATTAGTCGATTCTCAAAGTAATTGTCGATTAATGTGTGGATCAATCTATGTTGTGACATAGATGGATGCAGATGTAAGTATAGTACTTGGAAACAAAGATTAACTTGTGCTCTTGTATTCTAATCATCTTTGGATGTCAAACACAAACCTCTTTAGTATACGTATAAGGCCTCACTGTTCCAAAACAGTACCTTCAGAATAGATTCCATACCCGAACACAGCACATAATATATATCAAAATTATGACAACTTAACCATAATTGCATTGCGTTATATGATGTCACGTATAAGAAGACATTTTCAGTGAGTGACAAAACATAAATGGCATCAGATATTAAGGCAGACTGCATTGTGTGCTCCACTGGGGAGGGCGAATGAAGTGAAACCAAACTAACAATTATTTTCATGCATAGGCCTTTTGTTTTTTAAACTATATTTTTATTTTTTTTTTAATTAAGCAAAGCAGTACCATGGGACAGAGAAACACCCAGGAAGACTTTGAGAGTCAGTTCAATGATGTGATTTCCAGACTGGAGTCCAAACAGTTTTTCCAGTCTGAATGGGACATTGGCTTTGCCGTCGTCTTCTTAGTCTTCATTGGTGAGTGACAATTTAAATATAAAAAAAATGAAACTGCCGTGTTTCCTTTGAACAAAATAGATTCTGAGAGCATACTACTAATTGCTATTTGGATATTTTCACCGTGGGGTTGTTGTACAATTAGTACAGTGTACATTACTGTTCCCTCACAATAACTCAACAGGAGTTATTTTCAAGTGACCATATTGTGCACCGATATACCGTATTGGCCCGAATATAAGACGGGCCTGATTATAAGATGACCCCCTCTTTTTCAAGACTCAAGTTTGAAAAAATACTTTTTGAACACCAAATAAATTTTTATACAGAAAATAATTACAGTACATCTGAAACAAGTGATTATAACAATATATTTGAGAGAAAAAAGCATGTTAGTTTGCTTCGTTCAAATCTCAATATCTGAACATTTAAATATGTAACCTAAAGTGCAATCACATTCGTAAATGAATGGCTTCTGGTTTTTGAAATGTAAATTACATCATAACTTCTCCTCAGTTGCCGGTTAACCTGGCCGATCTTCGACCCATTTTTCTCCAGATTGTCGCTACGTTTCTCCATTTTCTGTTATCTCTTCTCTTTTCTTTCTTAAGATAAGATAAGATATCCTTTATTTGTCCCACACTGGGGAAATTTACAGCCTTCAGCAGCAAGATTGTGGGTAGAAAGAAGAGAAAAGAAAACACAGTTCAATTAAGTGCAATATAAATACAAATATGGATAAGGTCAATACTTACCACTATTTTTAATTTTTCTTCTTCATGCTACCGCTATTTTTATTTTTATTCTTCGTGACAGGGGTTCACTTTGGGCTGGGGAGTCAAGTTCAGCATTCGCTTCAATGATATCTGGCGCCATCTAGCGTCATGAATGGGTATAATGTCTAGACCCCAAATATAATAAGACGACCCCCACTTTTTCAGACTTATTTCAATGCAAAAAACACCGTCTTATATTCGGGCCAATACTGTACAAGCTTCTCACTGACTATGATACATTCTATTAAAGTGGCATTTCGTCAGTGTTGTCCCATGAAAAGGTAAAACAAAATTTTACAATAATGTGACTTCTGTACTCACTTTTGTGAAATGCTGGAGTGCAGGGGTCTCAATACTTTTTAAAAGTGAGAGGTACTTCTTGGCTTCTGATGAGTACGAAGGGCTACCAGTTTTATACACTTCTGAAATAACATTGGATCAACATATTGTGAAAATATTTCCTCAACGACAGTGGACCCTGGAGTACTTGCACCATTCATAGATTTTTTTTTTTGTCTTTTTTGTTTTTATCCCTCTCTCCAGCGAATAGCGGGGTTCCACTGTATAGTTTTAAGCTATATCACCATTCACCATAGATGAGCTCGCACAGGCTCTTATACTGCCATTTACTACATCATGAGTAGGCCAAATATTTTTGGGCGGATTTGGAATAACAAACTTAGTGCTGTACTTCAATATTACTACAATTTTGTCTTGGTTAATTTTTATGAAAAAAAAATGCACAAAATGAATTCTTGCACTTTTGCTGTTCAGCAGTTTTGTGCCATCCTTGAAGGCTATTTTTTTTAATGCGAGAATTGGAAAAAAAAATCGATCTTTTATACATGCACTGAGGAATGTATTACGAAAAATGAAATATATCAAGAGCACATATTTTGCACATATGCTTTTTTTTTTTTGCCCATCCCTGTTGTCCAACATCTAGAGTCTAGACCTATTGTAAATTATTGCAAAGCACACCAGGAAGGTAGAAAGTGGGATGTTATCCAGTGTTTCACTTTTTATTTTAATCTGTGGCTATCACAATCTAATGTTTAATTCAATGGGAAAATCTTGTCATGTAGCATTTCTAAAATAATAAATATACTTTACAGGACTAGATTCAAGTGTGGTGGAAGCCACTTTTCACATTTCTACTTCTCTGGTTGCACTACAAAGTTTGACTCAGGTGAATTTTTGATGTTGTCCTGCCGTGTGTGGTGGCAGGTTTGATTGTGCTACTTGTCCTTCTGGTCCTCATCCGTTGCTGTTGCTGCTGTTGCTGCGATGAGAAGGTAAAAAAAAAAAACACCCAGAGCACACGTGTTGTGGATCTGTCACACACATGGTGGAAGTTAGAACAGCACCCATGAATAGAAATGCCATGAAATGTTCACTAAGTAGTTCTGAAGATAGTTTGTCTGCACACTGAATTATGCATTAGATGCAGCGGTATGGATGTAAAAGGGATGATGAATTGTGTTGTTGCTTTTTCTTTTCTCCTCTAACAGCCTAAACGTCGTAAGGTTGGCATAGAGAACACATGTTTGGAACCATGACAGCTGAACGAACAACTCAACCTTGAGTTTGCATCAACTCCTGCACTTAACATTTCAAAATAGGATTTTACTTTGTTTCAACGCCCACCTTTTTTGTTCTTGTGATTTTCTACCCGATTATTGTACTTGCTGTGGTTTAGTCCCACTATAAGTGTACAGTTAGCTATGATTGCACTTTATATGAATGTCTTCAATAACATGTAATCGATTCCCTTTGTCTTAAACTATGTTTAATAAAATCTAAGGGTGATAAATGTTGGGTCATTCTTCTTGAGTATACTCCTTCACAGAATGTTGGTTTGTTTTATTTTATTGTAGGAACAGGTATAAGTAACATACTAGTAGTAGTGGAGCATGTTAAACTTTTTTCACCACTCTTTAAATGTCATTCGTAAAACGTTTTTTCATATTTTTCATCCATCCATCCATTTTGTACCGCTTATCTGGGGTCGGTTCATGGGGTTAACAGCTTCAGCAGGGAAGCTCAGATTTCCCTCTCCCCAGCCACTTCCAGCTCTTCCAGAAGGATCCCAAGGCGCTCCCAGGCCGGCCGGGAGACATCGTCTCTCGAGCAGGACAGCCCCACAACATCCAGAGCCTTGAGGAACTCGGGGCGGATCTCATCCACACCCGGGGCTTTGCCTGATGCGAGACGGCATCCCTTACTACCGGTGTACACCAGTGGGTTCGAGGGTTGCCACCACGACAGGCACCAACCACCTTACGGCCACAACTTCGATCGTCCACCTCAACAATAAAGGTGCGGAAAACGGTCCACTTGGAATCAATGTCCACCGATTCCCCCGGGACATGGCAAAAGCTCTGCTTGAGGTGGGAGTTGAAACTCCTTCTGACAGGGGATTCTGCCAGATGCTCCCAACAAAGACTCACAATACATTTGAGTTTGCCAGGTCGGACCAGCATCTTCCCCCCACCTTCGGAGCCAACTCACTACCAGGTGGTGGGTGATCAGTTGACAGCTCCACCCCTCTCTTCACCCAAGTGTCCAAAACATGCAGCCGCAAATCTGATGATATGACCACAAAGTCAATCATCAAACTGCAACAAAGGGTTTCATGGTGCCGAGTCCACATAAGGACACCCTTATGTTTGAACATGGTGTTCATTATGGACAATCCCTGACGAGCAGAGAAGATCAATAGCAAAACACCCTCGAGTTTTGATCGTGGAAGGGGGGGGGGGGGTATCCTCCCAATCACACCATTTGAGGTCTCACTTCCCACATGAACATTGAAGTCCCGCAGCAGAATGGGGCAGTCACCAGAGGGAGTGCTCTCCAGCACACCCTCCATGGACCCCAAAAAGGGTGGGTACTCTGAACTGCTGTTTGGTGCACACATCTTTATTTACAGGCACAAACAGTCAGGGCTCGTCCCCCTCCCTCCCAAAGGTGGAGGGAGGCTAATATCTCGTCCACCGGTGTCACCCCCAATGTACAGGCATTGAGCTGGGGGGGCAATAAGTATGACCACACTTGCTCTGCGCCTCTCACTGTGGGCAACACCAGAGTGAAACACCAGATCGAGCTGGTACGAGCGCACAGGCTCTGTGTGGAGGCAAGTCCGACTATGGCAAGTTGGAACTTCTTTATCTCGTACACCAGCTCAGGCTCCTTCCCTGCAAGAGCGGTGACATTCCATGTCCCAAGAGCTAGTTTCTGCAGCCGGGGATCAAACCGCCAAAGACCTTTGGCCGCCGCCCAGTTCACTTTGCACCTGACCCCTTTGGCCCCTCCCATATGTGGTGAGCCCATGGGAAGAGGGACCCACGTTGCCTCTTCGGGCTGAGCCCCATGAGTGTAGGCTCGGCCTCCAGGCGCTCGCCAGCGAGCCCTACCTCCAAGCCTGGCTCCAGAGAGGGGCCCCAGTGACCTGCGTCCATGCAAGGGAAAACGCCATCCAACGTTTCATTCATCATAAGGGTCGATGAGCCATGCTTTGTCTGGTACCTCATCTACAATGTGTTTGCCATGTGTGACCCTACCAGGGGCATGAAACTCCAGACAACTTAGCTTCGAGGATCATTGGTACCCCCCACCACCACCACGGTAAGGTGACGGCTCATGGAGTGGTTCATTCATTCAATTGTTGTGTGTGGGTACATGTGGTCACCTATCCCAGCATATTTCTTGCCATGGTGAAATCAGCTAGTTTTTGGGACCGATCTGTCTCACCAGATGCCTCAGTCGAGGCCTGACACAGCTAACGCTAATCTGTGTATTCACAAGAACTTTGCCGAAGTTATCATCGCCTTATTTAAGTTTCAGGTTTCATTCCATTGTCACATTGCAAGCGTTTCATCACAAAGGGACCATATTCCACCTGTTAATGAGTGTAGCTGTGTGGCACATAACATTAGCATACACAACTACCCTCACGCCCATGTAGACAATTTAGCCGAACATGACCGGAATGCTGGTTACGCTGTTAGCTAAAGTTAATCTGTACTGGCATTGCAGCTTTGCTTATACTGTATTTTGGCTTTGACATGATAGGGCTCTGCCTGCCCAGAAAAGTAGTTCTTTTGCTTTGAAACGTCTGCCAGCTGCCAGTGCCAAGCCATTGGCTGAGGCTGACTTTGTGTGGGAGTGGTTATTATAAGAAAACCTTTATTAGTTATGTTAATTATCCCCACTCCCACTGCTTCATAACCGTGAGGTGGAAGTAGTCAACAGAATGGCTCACTCAGCACAGATGGGTGGGCATGCCCAAAACACAACTAATTCCTTTCAGTGCAAAAAAACCCCAAAAACGTCCATATTCCAAAATACAAGTATGTATCCTTCTTCCATCCATATTCCGATCCGCTTTATCCTCACAAGGGTCGCCCAGGCTGCTGGCGCCTATCCCAGCTGTCTTCGGGTAGTAGGCGGGGTACACCCTGAACCTGTTGCCAGCCAATCGCAGAGCACACGTAGACGAAGAACCATTTGCACTCACAATCACACCTAGGGACAATTTTGAGTGTTCAATCAGCCTGCCACGCATGTTTTTGGAATGTGGGAGGAAACCGGAGTACCCGGAGAAAACCCACGCAGGCACGGTAAAAACATGCAAACTCCACACAGGAAGGAATCGAACCCTGCACCTCTGCACTGTGAGGTGGACATGCTCACTAGTAGGTCACCGTGCTGCCGGTCAAGTAACAGACATGGACAATTTGCTCATATATAGAGATTTTTTTTATTGCACAGATTTTAATCATTGCTTCCTAAGTAACACTTACTGGAATAATTTTGTTCACGAAAGGTCATTATCTCAGAGGCCATTTTGACACTGCAGGTTAAACAAAGGTGTCACTGTAAAGTTCTCGTGTCGATTTTTTTGACGGGATGGTTGGGATTTTTTAAAACCATTTTAAGTAGTTGATCAATGACACCGATAAACTCCCTTAAGCGATATGTCCAAATGGCTGCTGGGACAAAGGCCTATTTGAATGACTGTTTGGTTCACAGGAAATCCACAACATATGTGCAAACCATTAAATAAATAAATATATATGCATGATTGATTAGCTTATTTGAACAACAAGAATATGAATTACACCCAATCAGGCGATTAATAACAAAACAAAACAAAAAAGGGCATCCGTTGATCTTAACGCTGTGTTAGTATTTGTATTCACATTCACAACTTTAAAAAGATTTACACCACGAACCACGTTTTAAGATTAAAACAGACACACCAGTCACTCAGCACAGACGTGCCCTATAGTGTTACTCAATGCAGTCGTGAAGGTAGTAACGATTCTTTGTAATTGATCACAGAGCATGTGTTTCACATATCATGTATTGTTGTAATGGTTCATGGTTGCACACATCTCATGAACCATTCCAGTTTTACTGCAAACTTTGGCGTCAAGGTAAAGCCAGACTTTGACTGCTGCCGACGAACAAGAATCCACGGCAGAACCGCATGTCGTTTTCATGAATGCAGTGAAGACACTGACAGGGGGTGACTTCAGCTACCCCTTAGAATCGTAGAACATGGCAACAAGTGTTGCCAGAGTTTCCAGTTTATGCACAGACTCATACAAATGAAAATAAAACACAAAAAGTGTAGCTGAGAAATTTTGGAAATATTCTGTTGGTCAGTCCCATGTGAATTCAGGAGAATTGACTGGAATTTGGTGGGTAACTGATGCAAAACATCAGAATGTTTTCAATTTGTCAAAAGGATGACGTGTAAAATACAAAAGTGGTGTATTTTAAAAAAAAAAAATTGTCATCATAAGATGACAGTAGTTGGGGCCTCAGTCCACTTGCTGTGTGTAGCGACTGGAGCAAGTATGGCCTTTCCATTCACAGTAGCGTGCTACGTCAAAGGGATGGAGGGATGCCTAGTGCAGGACGAAAAGTCTACCACATTAACATGAAATGTGTCTTTTTTGGGCCAATATGATGTTACAAAATATTTTCAATGCTTCTTTGTAACAGACCAACTTACCATTTCGGAAATGTGTCAGATTTTTTTTTTTGTTTATTTATTTATTTAGCATACCCACGAATTACTGTAAAATCGCCCGTAATTCTTATGGAAAGTTTGCCACTTTGAAAATTCCCAGAATTTTCAAAGTTAGGGAATACATGAAGCACTAAAGCCATATCTGTGAATGCAGACCATATCATATTTCCCTTTCCACTCTTTTCACCTGAGTGTAGTGATTAGCATTACACCACAAAAGACTAGAAAATACCAGATGACATTTTATGTTTAAGCAACATTGCTTGAACATAAAAATACGTTTAAAATGGAAAAAAAAAAACAAAACAAAAAACCCGAAAACAAAACATACATTCATGGAGCGGTATTAGTCAGTCCTGTGAAATGCAAAACATCGGAGGAATGTCGGTACACTGGAAAGCACAAATAGGGAAAAGCAAACATGTCTGCCACACCTAACTGGCTCCTGACGACCATGCAACACTTGAAACAGAATGACTGGCTTATAAATATCAACCAATAAATAAGAGCATGTCCTTCACACTTGTTTGGGTCAGATGTTGACTGTGAGCTGATTAGAAAGGTCTGTAGTTCCAGAAACTGGAGAAGACCGAGATCTGCAGGTACACGAGAAGAATCTTAGTCGCACATCTCTTCAACCCCTTTAAAAGTTTTGCGATGATTTATCTTGGTCTCATTTTTTTTATATCACGGCAAAGGCATTCGAACATAAGTGTGAAGACTTTTTAGATCCTTTGTGAACAGACAGATGGAGTGGATATAAATAGTCTACACATCCCCTGTTCAAGTGCCAGGATTTTGTCTTTTTCTTCTGTTTGAGAGTCGCCGCTTGGAGTTGAAACGGATTTGCACGGGACAGGGCAAGTGAACCAATCTCTTTTTTCGTCAATGGACGCGACAGCTTGTTTACTTTCAAACTTAGCTTGTGGCAGACGTGTGCACATTTTGAGCATGACGTCTGATCCACTGGTGAAAGGGCACCTTTATTCTCTCCTCTTTCATCTAGAACTGCTTCAAACTACAAAGCGTATGCAGGAAAAGTGGTTAGGATTGCACGACTGTCCGTGTCTTATGTTGTGTTATATTATTTTGTTATTTTATGTTGAGTGTTCTGTAAAGTGCTTTGGTACAGCTGCCGCTGTTGTGAAAGCGCTATATAAATGAAGACGTAGTCAAAGATGGAAAATCCACGTCCAGGAAGTCAAAACGCTGCCACAGTTTGTTTTTTGCCACAGGTGCTGCTACTCAACCGGCAGGTAGATGAGCTCGTTTAACTTCCGGTTGAGTAGAAGCACCTGTGGCTTAAACGTTGAGTTGAGTAAAGCGAAACTGTGGCAGTGTTTTTGTATTCTGGATGTTGATTACCCATCTATGTAACTATAGAATAGAGCCTATTTGAGGTACAACATGGTGTTTAGGTGGAGACTAAATAGCGACTGCTATCAGTAAGAGGCACACACACACACACGTACCTTGTCTTTGAGCTGTTGACAAAGCTGTAGCGAGATGGTGAAAAACACCAGTGTATCATTTAGCCAAGGGACGACACACTCCACCTTATGCACATGGCTCACCTCAAACCGGTTGTTGTTGAGCTCACTGAGGAGGCAAGAAGAAGCGACAAAAATAAACAAATTCACAAAGCAGTGTTCATAAACTTTGAACAATGCTTAAAATTGTTGATCATGACACACAATTTAGCTGTCTACAAAAAAAAATGTCTGCTCCAAGGTCTAGTACAAATTCCAAACAGGCAAAATTATTATTATTTTGCTAAAATTATTGCGATTTGGTGACACCCGAAGTAACAAAGGCAGTTGAGTCAGTGCTATATAAAGGCCTGTCAATGAGCGTTAATAGTACATTTGTACAAGAAGGCGCGAACAAGATTTAAATATCACGAACCCATGTTGTTGGTCGATTTCGAAACAGATCTTCTGTAGGAAATACATTTGCAGGCTGAGATAGCGGCCCAAGCTGCATGAAAAGCAGCCCGGTTCACATTGCCAGAATTTCCAGATTATCAGGTCAGATCTGCCGCTGAGTTAGGTACAGGCAGAACAGCGTCTCAAACCAAAATGAAGCTTTTTTTTTTTTTTTTTTTTTTGGGGGGGGGCGTTTTGACATTGGAAAAATCTGTGTCTTCTCTATGGTGTTAGTATTATTAAAGGTTGCGTAAGAATTTTTTTTTTTTTTTTTACATCTCGGTTGGCAAAAAATGGAAATGTGTTCAACTGTTCACACTGTTTGCAGTCAGCTGACTTTCACATTGTCCCTTTGGGGTCGCCACAGCAAAGTCCCTCGCAGGATTTATTTGGCATTGGTCTCAAAATGGATGCCCATCCTGACAAAATGAATCATTTTTTTAAAATCTGGGCTTATCGAGCAATTGACTCAAACCTGCATCGTCTGCATGAAAGGCTGCCGCGTGTACCACTATAAACTTCATAGATTGATTGGTGAAATGACTTGCTACAAGACAACAGACAAATTTATTTCATCTTACAACATGGCCCCGGGATTGTGCAACACAGAGCTTCCAGATGGCTTGAAATTCTAACAAGAAACGAGAAAAAAAACGATTACGTTACAGCTCACGCAACTTATGCGGTACAGGATTTAAATGGCATCATGTGTTCAAACCTTGGTGGTGTTGGGCGGCAGCACGTGAAGCTGGTAGACGGTGAGACACAGTTTGCTTAAATTGATGTAAAAATTCACCATCACGTCACCGGGCATGGGAGGAGTGAACATTTTCTGATGGAATAATATACCTTGTTAGGGCATGTTTGTCTTGTGCAAACTACTGTACATTGTAGAGTCAAACAGACAATATGTAACACGCACACACAATTTTGATTTACTTACATTTGCCTTTATTTGTACAGATGGGGGTGGGGGGGATTAGCTTTCCTCACGACACTTCCATGATATAAATACAATATATCGTTCTCATTATTGCATTATGTCCTTTGCCACTCATTGAGTAGATCTTCATCAAACTATTTTCCCTACGATACCGACAGTTAAGTTCAAAAGTATACATTTCCTCATGTCATTGTGTCATGATGAAAATGAATTTCTCTTTCTCTCTCTTACTTTTAAACGCAAAGGCGAACAATTTATTTTCAGTTCTCTTCTTCCAGAATAAAAAAATAAAAAATACCCACTGGTGAGGCGATTGACTGCCAGGGCAACAAAGCGATTCAAGAAGAAGCATAAAAGGGTCATTGGAGTGGCCACAACCCAGTAGAAATCTTTGGAAGGAACCTGTGATGGTTTTGTCTTTGTTTTTTTTCTTTTTTTTTTTTTTTTTCTTTTAGCATCAGCTGGGAAGGAGGGCATGGCTCTCCAGCAGCACACCTGTTTCTTGTTCCCAATCAAGACTAGTCAAGTATTTAAGGGCTGCCCAAATCCCACATCTGTCGGATTATTGACCTTGCTCACTTGTTTATGCTCAAGTGATATTTCTAGACCTCTTGCCCATGTTCATAGTGGCTCGTTTCGCTTGATTCTATGACCGTATTGGCCCGAATATAAGACGGTGTTTTTTGCATTGAAATAAGACTGAAAAAGTGCGGGTCGTCTTATATTCGAGGTCTAGACATTATACCCATCCATGACGCTAGGTGGCGCCAGATATCACTGAAGCGAATGCTGAACTTGACTCCCCAGGCCAAAGTGAACCCCTGCCACGAAGAATAAAAATAAAAATAGCGGTAGCACGAAGAAGAAAAATAAAAAATAGAGGTAAGAAGGAAAAGAGAAGAAAATAATAGAAGAGATAACAGAAAATGGAGAAACGTAGTGACAATCTGGAGAAAAGTGGGTCAAAGATCGGCCAGGTTAACCAGCAGCTGAGGAGAAGTTACGATGTAATTAACATTTCAAAAACCAGAAGCCATTCATTTACGAATGTGATTGCACGTTAGATTTGAATGAGGCAAAATAACATGCTTTTTCTCTCAAATATATTGTTATAATCATTTGTTTCAGATGTACTGTAATTATTTTCTGTATAAAAATTAATTTGGTGTTCAAAAAGTCTTTTTTTCAAACTTGAATCTTGAAAAAGAGGGGATCGTCTTACAATCAGGGCCGTCTTATATTCGGGCCAATACGGTTCTGGTTCTCAAGTCGTTTTGGACGACTATAAATTTCATGTGTTTGGATTCTTGCCATTTCGTTTTGAGCACTTTCAGTTGAAGTTTGCAAGCGGCTTTCTATTCATATCTGGTTTTCCTGGCTTGTTGTTGTCCTGCTATTTCTGTTTTGTCGGTACTTCGGTTAATCGACTTTGTACATTCCCACAAGCTGTGGGTGGTGACCAAAAGAACAAGGTCACAGAGACAAGTGACCAAAATGAGTTTGGTGTGTTTTTTCTCTTAGTGCCCAAAACTGGACATGCCTGGTGCTGTGCCACTCTACACAGTAGACCGATACGGTGGCTTGCGCATCTGATCACGATTCCTCCCAGATGCTTCACTAGTGAGGTGGTTTCGGCACCTCCCACGAGAAGAATCAAGAAACACTGCAGACCAGGAGTCTCAAACTCACTTTACCTGGGGGCCTTCGAATGAGACAGACCACACTATTTAGCACGGAGATAGTGCTAACACATACATCATCCATATCAAACTCTCGCGGGCCACACTAACATTAAACGTTCAGATCAAGGCGAGGGCCTCAAACTAGCGTGAGTTTGAGACCCTATTGGAAGACTCTCTTGACTGGGCTGGGGATACCTTTGGTGAGGTGAATTTGGAATTCCTCGCTCGTGATGCTGCCCCCGTAACTCGAGCCCAGATAAGCAGAAAAAAGACGGATAGACTAATGGCTTATGAATTCTAACCTCAAATGAGTTATGATGACTTATTGATTTCAGCCTGAAATCGCCAATTCTGTCTGGAGCCAATGAGTCTGAAGTGAAAAATAATTTGTACCATCAGTCCACTGGTGGCCAATTCAGGCAGTGTCATGGACGCTGGGGTGGTGAGGCGGTTTCGTGCACGTGTCAGCTGGAGCATCACAGCATCCATTAGCTATAACAACAACAGGAAGGTGAGGTTCGCATAATACGTGCATGCTGATAAGACTGTTCTTCAGGACAAACCTTGTTAACCTCTGCCCCTGTTTTGAAGTCGTAGTTCTCATCATGGCTGTTTAACAACTGAAGTGCCTGCGTCACATGATTTCGTGCATCCTGGATCTGAAAGAAGGAAGGATACATGCAAAGAGGGGAGAGAGATACGTTGGCTGAGGGGGCCAAGGGATTTAGGGAGATTTCCCTTCGGTCTCTACATTGCCTAAATCCAAACTGACGTGCACAAATATCTTGTTTTGCTTAAAACACAGATTATTCTGAGAGCATTCACATTCGGGAGGGTTGAAATGATTTTATTAGTTTTTAAATGTCTCAACGGTCTAAGGAGAGCTTATTTATCTGACCTGCTTTTATCATATCAACCAGCACTGATCCTGAGGTCCTCTGGCACTGGCCCTTATTATTCCAAGGATGAGGACCAAAACATGACGGGTCTGCATTCAGCCGTTTTGGTCCCCAGCTATGGAAAAGCTTGCCAGAGGACATCAGGTCCGCAGAGACTGTTGATGTTTTTAAGAGGAGGCTTAAGGCACATCTTTTTTAGCTTGGCTTATTTAAATTACATTTACCCC